TATTATGCAATATCAAATTAGTTTTAATTACTTTTCATCTAATTCATTTTAAAACTTAAGCTAGTCAACAAGAGCTATTTTTAATCAAACAGGCTTACCCATTTGCCCAATACTCAAAGGATATAGATAACACCAATGCTAGCTCCTCGCACTCAAAACCCATTAATTTCTCTCTAATTTGACATGCAATTTTCTGTTATCAAAATTCTTCTTGACCAGTGCTTGATAATTACACTCATGGGAGAGTTAGAATTTCTCTAACAAACATTATATTTGTTATAGATTGCTGTCAAGTATATGCTTAAAAAAATAAGTATTTTCTTGATTTAACACTTTTTTAATAAGAACAGTGCAATACTCTTACATTATTTGGGATGTGTAAATGAATAGTAAAAAGACACATTTTTTTTTTTAAAATTCACTTAAATTAAAGGTCACAGTGACCTTGAAATAGGTCGCGACACACCTTCTACCTAAGATGCATAAACTGGCCAAGTTTGATGATTGTAGGTCTTATGGTTTTCTAGTTATGGGCCGGAAAGGATTTTTCCATATTTGGCTATAACTTCTTAAATAAAGGTCAGAGCGACCTACTTTTTGTGCGCAACACACCTTCTACCCAAGATGCATCAGATGACAAAGTTTGATAATCCTAGGCCTAGTAGTATTAAAGTTATGAGCCGGAAACGAAAAAGCTAACAGACAGACGGACAGACAGACGGACACGAAGCCTATAACATAATACGTCCCGTCTTAAGACGGGCGTATAATACCAGTGTCAGAATATTGCATATTGGTTATCAATGTCTTCTGCTTAAGTTTTTATGAAATGATATGGCAGTCAGGAACTCACTTTTTCCTAGCAGACAGCAGATGCTCTAGGATTTCTGGAAGAAGACCTTTTCTATACTGAGATTTGATGAAGTAATTTCCTGAGGGTGTCTTTATGTACTGATCTGGAGTTAGTCTGAAAAAACAATTACAATAAAAGTAAACATTTATACCTTTGAGCTCAAAAAAGAAAACTTAAGTACAGTCTAACCTTAGTATCTGAAACTCAAATTCAGGAAAACTTTGACCTATCAAGAATTTGAGATATTAGAGTAAAAGTGGTTGGGACTTCCAAATACATATCCATGGTATTCAAGATATCTGTGATTGAGATACCCAAACTTCAACTGTATTTTTCAATTCCTGCATTGTATAAGACACACATGTAAACACACTCGTATTGTTAATCAATATGTATACTCACCCCTCCTTCTGTATGGAGTGTTGACTAAGCAGTGTGGTATAACACAGATTGTGTGCCATCATGATGGAGGGGTACAGGGAGGAGAAATCCAGGGTTGCTATGGGGATGTCATAGTAACCTTTGACTGGTTCTATGACAGTGGCTCCCTCATATTCGTCACCAGTCTCTACTTTGTGGGTAGGTAACAAGAGATCCTGCTCTTTAGCCTGATAAGTCATAAACAGGTTTACATATTTATATTCCTCTGCACAAAATTAGTCTCAATCATGTTGACTGGGTTGAGTTCAGGATGAATACTTTACATAAAAAAAATATTTTTTAAACAGTAAAATTTAAATTATAAGACAATATATCCTTTACAAAAATCCAAACACATAACCTTTCTCAGCAACTGTGACACGACCTTGACCTGTTGACCCCTGGACAATAGATATGGCAGTGGGACTCCTGTGACCCTGGCCATTTCCATGTAGTTGATGACACACATCAGTTTGTCTAGGAGCCTCAGAGGAAGAATAGCATCTTTCAAGCAGTATACAGCTAAACGACGACGAGTTTGGTCATTACCATTCTGTCAACAGATTAATACCTATATCTCTTTTTTTTCTTCTAAGAATTGAGTTTTCTTTAACAAAATCATAATGACGAATTCTTTGTTTACAAAAGGTTATCATGAAAAATATCTCTAGCCAAATTCATTGCAATAGATTTGTTGCATATTGGCATAGTGAAAGCAACAGCAAAACCATTCACAATAATTTAAGAGATCAATTATTTATACACTTTTGCCAATGTGTATTCAAAATTGCTCTTCTTTTTTATAGGCTAAATATTAAATTTTGATGTCATTTTCTGACAAGAAAAGTTGCAAAAATTTTTTATTAACTTTATCATCGTGACCCTGATAGTTACTCAAGAAATGTAACAAGTTCCTCCCCAACCACTCTTGCCTCTTGTTTACTCCATCCTTTTTATTGGGACTTTGACCTTAAACAGTTATCAGGCAACTGATATATTTTTGTTACCAGCCCCCCTCCTCTCCCTTCCCCACCCCTTCTATCTCCATCTGTCTCACCTGTAATCCCACTCATTTTACCTGTAAATCAGTAATAATGGAGTGCTGCACATCTTCCTTCTGTTCTTGAAGAAAGTGAAACGACACAGCATTCAATGTGTAGGAACGCAGCTTGTAATCTCTCAGCAATATCTACAAATAAACACAGACGCTGTTACCAAATACAATGAAATTTTGATTATAAATTGAAACATCAATAGAAACAAAAGTCATTGCTTTTTAAGTATAACCGTTAAAGCAAAGGAAGGCTGAAGGCCGAAGTTGTTTGCGAGGAGATCAATGTTTGACACAGAATGAGGCAGGTTGTTGATATTTACACCTGCGCTCAGACAGTGCCAAACAACAACACTCCCCAAAAATCATTCCAATCAGCTGAATTCTGTAAATCAAAATTCTAAATAACTTTTGTATAACATATAATAGTTTTATACCTAGAATATATAGCAATCTTATACAGACTTAGTTTTTACCTGTAGAAGGTCAAACTGGACCCTCCCTTCAATGTTAATGACCTTATTCTCTCTCTTTCCCATCTGTTTACTCTGAAACATGGACTCTTTTATCACAGATCTAACTTCCTTCTGTCGGCCCAGGAACGTGAAGTCGGCCACCTTTAGGTGATTGGCTCGATTGATGATGTAGGGCAGATCAAAGTTCTGTATGTTGTACCCCGTTATAATGTCAGGATCTACTACTCGCACAAACTCCGCCCATTTCTGTGATAATCAGTGAAAATTTAATAGAAAGATTTTTTTCTACCAATCACATGCAGAGTAAATGGGTATGTACAAGTATATATTGAAAAAATTCTTTCAATGTATCAGGCTAGGAAATATGATCACATTTCCAAAACTTGTATTATATTTCTCAAACTATAAAACTACCGTATAGTGTGCAAAATTTTAGCAAAAGGATTTAATTGAATCATTATTAGTGAGGGTAGACATATGTTTGTCTAAAACATGAATATCATAAAATGAATTAAAATTATCTGTAATAGCTTCTTTAGTTAGCATTTTAAAATTACGCCTAAAATTACTTCTCGCACAGGTATTCCAGATTGAACACATTACGAAGAAATGGCTCTCTTTCTCTTTAAAATTTCCACTTATACGGTATTTTACTACATATTTCTGTATACATTTAATTTCAAAGGGAGAATATAGTGTCAAATGAGCCATCATAGTCAGATATAGACATATTTTTGTCTAATACACCTATAGGCATCACAAATAGATATTTTCTTCACTAACTCTGAGTAGGTCAGACTCCTTTTGATTACTGATGACCTGGGATCCCACCACTGAGGCACAGGTATTCAGTGTGAACACATTTTGCAATAAAAAATTTTAATCACATTTAATGAAATTGGCAATGGTGAATATTTTCAACTACTGGTTGTACAGATAACTAAATATTCCTGACAAACAAACATGCACTGAATTATATAATGACAAGCTTGCTGAAGGAGAGTAATTTATTTTACATGTAGTTCAGAGAATGTGATTAGTGAGAAAAGTTTTAAAAATTGAAATTTAAAAATTACAATATACACATGCATGCTGGTGCTTCAACAATAGTGAATGTATCTAAAACATTATCATTTTACTCAACTTCACCATGACCATTACTTTTGTTGATTTCATAAATAAAATGGGTTAAAAAAGCTTATAATATTCATATTAAAGTTTACCATTCAATATCACCTAGACATCTACATAGCTAAGTTCCCATCTCTAGCATTACCTACCCTTTCTGCCAGCACACTCGATATCAAAGCTGAGGATTCTAAATGGAGCCACAGCGGACCACTCCCCCTCCTCAGGTAACCGTACGGTAAAAAAGTTGGGTCTTTAAGTTTGCATGTCCATTTGGGTTGTTATACTCATTTGTCCTATAAATGTTTGAAAATTACGACTGAAAGTTACTGTCACTCAAATGACTGTACTGTTCTGTTTCCATAGTTACCAAACTGAAAATGGTGATTATCGAGGTATTTGCAGATTTGGCATGAAAATTGTAAAGCATATTTACGGGGGCCAAAAACATAAAATAGGGGAGTGTAAGCATGTTGGTTAGACATGCACAATTTAAAGCCTGGTGAGAAGCAAGCATGAGACTACCTTTGACTGTGTTGGTGAACTTCGTCAGTACGGCTGATAGGCATCCCACTACAATCCCTATAATAAGGCCTCCAGCACATACAATTACAAACTTCACAATCCCCAGCACAATCTGAAACATGTTATCATGGACAAACATTTAATTAAGCTGGTATGGATAGGGGAAAAACTATAACTAACACATTAAGCTACCCTCTGATTATAAAAAATCATTCATTTCTGGGTAATAGGTTACATAGAATTACTGGGTATTGGGTAAACATCAAATTTACAAATTTCAATATCAAGGATGTGCATATCAATGGTTCAAGACAATTCATCTATATATGACTTGCCAATGGTGCACAAATGGACTAACAGGTTGCTCGAAGAAAAATATTATTCTAAGGTTTGCGATCATCTTACAGTTACTCAATCAAAAATGCTGTGATATAAAAGTGAATATTATTTTGCAGTTAAGAAAGAGACAAATTAGTCTATAAAAATTTATAATCTTTTTTTCAATCTAAGAACATAGATATTACTAGGGGTATTTAATTTGGTTCAAAGGAAA